ATATCGCTACTACAGTTACAGCAGTACCATAGCTGAGAGCTCTCCCTACACTTGTTCTACTAAGGAACTGTGATTTTTTTTTCTCTTTTCTTTAGTATCTCTTCCAGAAAAGGGGGCAGGGGAAGATCAAACAGCACTGATTAATATTAAGGTCCCAGCAGTTGTCAAAAGTCGTATAGAGAGGTAACTTTGCTACCTACTCCTTCCTAAGAATCTAGAGACAAAGGGAGTTGTAGTGCTACTAGAGCAACAATTTCGGGATCCTGCAAATTAAAGATTAATTCATAATTACACGAGACAATGGTCCTGCAGTAGGCCTGTGCTGAAAAAGTCTGCTTGTTGGAAAAATGCTACTATGAATAGTTAGAAGATAAAAGCAATCCATCAGCAAAGGAGGGCAAGCAGACAGCAGCTATGTCTAACACAAACTCACTCACATTAGGTCTTCTGGTTAGTTTTTTTCCTCCGAATCCCTTTTCAGTCCTGTTGTTTAGCCAGCCCCCATGGCAGGAATGGTAGAACATTTAGCAGGAAAGCTTTGAAGGGTTCTACCCCACTTCAAAAATACCTTTGCTTAAAAACACTTATATAGCCAGTGATTAGCAATTAAAATGTGAAAATAATTACTTAGTAGTTAAACTCTGCTAATTATCAAAAATTATGGCCTACTGGGATTAGCAGCATTACAAATCCAAGTCATACTGCATATCTTAAGCTTTTTCTAAATACTTAACAGATCTCTTTCAGTGTTAATTGCACTTAAAACACATCTGGTTTTTTCATTTAATCTCTGAAATCTGTTCCATTTTTTCCCCCTTCATTTATAAAAAGAGGAAAGGGATCAATTTATCATTTGCTATATAGCTATTTGAATTTGATAAAGATTCCACACAGATTTGTGCATCAGGTATAAAGGGAGTTGCATATAGCTGCTTCCTGGAGCAGATTACAATTGTCCTTGTGACACTTCAGAGCTTGGACTGCAGTGGCTTCAGGTGCTTATAGTAAGATTCATGGACCTGCAGGGAAGGGAGAGAGAAGAAATAATGATGAAAAGGTTGCCAGGTTAAATAGCATACTTTTTTTTTTTAGGGACAGGATCTTGCTCTGTTGCCCAGGCTGGAGTGTAGTGGTGTAATCATAGCTCACTGTAACCTTGAACTCCTGGGCTCAAGCCATCCTCCTGCCCCAGCCTCCCAAAGTGCTGGGATAACAGGTGTGAGCTACTGCACCCAGTGGCACACTTTTAATTGAGAAATTAGCTGTACCTTATTTGGATCCTGACTCAAAGAAATTGTTAATAAAAAAAAGGAAGAAAAAATTGAGCCAGTTGGGGAAATCTGGACATTGGGTATTTCATGATATTAATTATTGTTCATTTGTTTAGGTGTAGGAATAGTATTGTGGTTGTTTTTAAAGAGTCCTTATTTTTTAGAACTACATATTGAAATATTTATGGATAAAAGTATCTGATGTCTTGGATTTATTACAAAATACTTCCCAGGAGGTGGGGGATGGAGCTGAAACACAAATGGCTATGGGTTGATCGTTGTTGAAACTTGACAAAGGGTACATGGAAGTACATTATGGTACTCATTTTTGGTACATGTTTGAAAATGTTCAATTAGTCATCAGATATTCAAGGTATTAATAATTAAAACCTTGCTTACTCCAGGAACGACCAGTTCCCTTCTGAACCTGTTGCTCAAATAAAGTGACTGTCAGAAGTGGACCACA